ACCCAGGCTGGAGTGCAATGGCACAATCTCGGCTCACCGCAACCTCCGCCTCCTGGGTTCAGGCAATTCTCTTGTCTCAGCCTCCTGAGTAGCTGGGATTACAGGCACGCACCACCATGCCCAGCTAATTTTTTGTATTTTTAGTAGAGACGGGGTTTCACCATGTTGACCAGGATGGTCTCGATCTCTTGACCTCGTGATCCACCCGCCTCGGCCTCCCAAAGTGCTGGGATTACAGGCTTGAGCCACCGCGCCCGGCCTATTTTTATATTTTTGAACGTGGGTATTTATTAGAGGTAGGAGTCAAAATTTCTATGTTTTAATGATCTGCCATTTTAATGGCTTAATATTAAAAAATGTTTATAAACTAAATTGAGTACAATTTATACATTTTTAGTGTTGCAAACAATGTGGTCATCATTTTAGGGACACTTGACATTCATGGATGTGGCCATAGAATTCTCCCAGGAGGAGTGGAAATGCCTGGACCCTGCACAGCAGGCTTTATACAGGGACGTGATGCTGGAGAACTACAGGAACCTGGTCTCCCTGGGTAAGGATAATGTCCCTTCAGAAGCCGAGATCTGCTCTAAGCCAGCTTTGCATTTTCTCTTGTGTGCCTTTTGGGAGCCCCTAAATTGCTTAACTGAGTTAGAAACCTTGTTGACTCGGAAATGAAAAGCTCTATTATGCTCTCTGCACTTGAAATGTCTCCTTTCTTCAGATGTTCTGCCGCCTTTATGATATGTCATTCGGTGGCACCGATAACTAGTTCTTTCTTTTCTCCCCTGTGCTTGCAAATCAATAGTTCTTGGAAGAGATCTCAATGGCTGCATATTACAGTATTCCCTACGCATTCAGAAGGAGGCAGTCTGTGGGTGAACTTGTGAAATATTTTTCTTTCTTACTTTTTTTTTTTTTTTGAGACAATGGCATGGTCTTGGCTCACTGCAACTTCCACCTCTCGGGTACAAGCAATTCTTCTGCCTCAGCCTCCCGAGTAGCTGGGACTACAGGCTCGTGCCAGCACACCTGACTAATTTTTGTATTTTTAATTGAGATGGGGATTCACTATGTTGGCCAGGCTGGTCTCAAACTTCTGACCTCATGATCCACCTGCCTTGGCCTTTCAAAGTGCTGGGATTACAGGTGTGAGCCACTGTGCCCGGCTGAAATATTATTCTCGACCCATTTGCAGTATCCTCTCTTACCTAAACATAGGGCTTGGATTTTGGAGATGCCCCAGGACATCTTGGTTCTTTCTTTTTACAAACAGGAATCTGTCTTCCTGACCTAAGTATTATCTCCATGTTGGAGCAAAGGAGAGAGCCCTCGACTCTGCAGGGTGAAGTTAAAATAGTAAAAATTCAAGATGGAAAGGAATGTGTCAGAAATGTGAACCCAGGTAAGAGCTCGGATGGGCAGAGTGGCAGCCACGGTTTTTATTATTTTTTGAGACAGTGTGTTGCACTATCACCCAGGCCGTAGTGTAGTGGCAATCATAGCTCACTGCAGCCTCAAACCCCTAGCTAGACTCAAGCAATCCTCCTGCCTTGGCCTCCCAAAGTGGTAGAATTATAGCCACTGTACCTTACAAAGCCATACAATTGTTTTTTGAGACATAGTCTTGCTCTGTTACGCAGGCCGGAGTGCAGTGGTGTGATCTCAGCTCACTGTAACTTCCGCCTCCCAGGTTCAAGTGATTCTCGTGCCTCAGCCTCCCCAGTGGCTGGGAGTACAAGCATGTGCCACCACACACAGCTAATTTTTGTATTTTTGTGTTTTTAGTAGAGAAGGTATTTCATCATGTTGTCCAGGCTGGTCTCAAACTCCTGACCTCAAATGATCTGCCTGCCTCTGTCTCCCAAAGTGCTGGGATTACAGACGTGAGCCACTACACCCAACCGAGTGTTTTTTTTATGGCACAGGGTATGCCTCAGCAGGAGATTCTCTAAAACCTATACACATGCCAGAAGTTTTTGAATAGGAGTTTAAATATTTATTTTCCTTTATCTGTCTTAGTAGCTACTATTAAACAATACTTTTGTCAGTTAAGTTTATTATAGTGTATAATATGGAAATTTTTTGTATCTTAAGAATATGCTG